TGGGGGCTCACAGAACCAAGGTTTTCTTTTTTTTTTGGTACCGGGAATCGAACTCATGACCTCAGGCTTGCTAGGCAAGTGCTTATGCCGTTGAGCTATAACCCTGGCAAAGAAGGTTTTCAATGAAAGAAAGTACAGGGGGAGACACCCAAGTGTGTGCAGTGACCCTTGCCAGAAGGAGGAAAGCACCTGGTCCTCGGCTGAGAGGAGGCCTCTGAGCAACGCTGGCCCTGCATATCTAAGCTGCGCCTCTAGCAGGACGGACCAGAGTCAGTAAAGGAAGGCAGGCACCTCTCTGCCGGCCACCAGCTAATGGCACATGGAAGGAAACAGTATGAACCCACTTGCAGAAACAGTGAGGGTTCTCACTTGCTGCACCTACACACCAGCGTGACAAGCCCCCAGGGGCCACGCTGAGAAGCCAGACTGCCTGCCACTGACCTGGGCACCGCACACGATGTACTGAGGGGGCAGAGATATAGACAGCATTTACCATAAATGGTTTCAAGGAGGGTTGGCCTTAAGAACAGGAGGGCCATTCGCTACCATGGTAACCACAGATCACGCTGGGGAAAGGATGTGCCTGCCACCCAGGGACCTGATGGGGGGAATCACTGCAAAGATAAGAACCCTGCCCCTGGTCAAAAGGGTGAACTGTTCTCACTGCTGCACCAGAACCTGAGACTCTTCCATCATGACAGCCCTGGCCCAGCTCACACTGGGGGGCCACATCCTCCTCTCTAACCCCTATAAGGGCCCAGCAGGAGGCAGCCCAGCAAGCCCCGTGTGACTGGAAAGGAAAGTATGCTGAGCATACTGAAAGTACAAGCGGGGCATGGGGCCACCAGGGCCTGGAGGGGGCTGCCAGGCCACCTGTTGAGCTCCTGGTGTGCCCTAGAACCCAGCACATCTGAGACCTCTTCATAATTATTGACTGCCGACACAGACCTCCCCACTGGTGGCAAGTCACACTGCACACAGCACAGTGACCAGGGGCTGCATGAAATGGCCTACCTACAATAGGTGTGGCCTACAGAAAGCCACATCCCACTTTCTGGCCTTAGCAAATGAAAACCTGGGTGTGTAGGTGTCCATTTGTCACATTTTCTCACATGAATAAAAAGGCCAATGGGACCCAGGGTCATAGAGGTGGCATCCTTTTCACCTTTTGTGTCTGTGTGTGTGTACAGTGCTGGGGATAGGACCCAAAGCCTTGTGCATGCTAGGCCAGCACTCAATCCTGGAGCTGCACTTCAGCCCTGAGGAGGTGGCATCTGAACAGCACCCCCAGGGACCACAGCAGGCAGGACTCTAAGCTCAAGTGGTCTTCTCTGTCAGGGCGAAAGACGCCAGCCAGAAACAACAGCATCTCACACCTCTTCCTCAGTCAGTTTAAGAAGTTCAAACTGCAGAAAAACTGGCAACTTTTTGAGGGCTAACAAGACACTGAAAAAGTTTTGAATTTTAGATCAGCGTAGATTTCAAGGTTTTGGATTAGTTTTGGATTAGGGACATCTAAATAGTAAAGTTTATGCAAATACTTCAAAATCTGAAATGCTTCTATTTCCAAGCATTTTTGGATAAGGGATACTCAATCCATACAAACTCCCGCCTCTCTCAGCATAAAATTTTTCACAGGTGGACCAACGTAAGACTCAGGACCCAGGCAGGAAAATGAAACGTGCGTGTTCTACATACTGCTGCATACTGCTACCCTTGCTGGGCGTGGTGGTGCTGCCTGTAACCACAGCACTCAGGAGGCTGAGGCAGGAGTATCACTATGAGTACAAGGCCAGCCTGGACTGCATAGTGAGACCCTCTCTCAAAAAGTAAAACAAAACGAATGAAAAAAAAAAAAAAAGTTCAATATACATACTCTGACAGGTGATGCAGGAGGCAGCCAGCAGGTAGTCAAGCGCAATCTTAGTTTGATCCCTTACAGTCCCAGGTCCACCAAGCTTCAGTCTCCTCACTAGTACCTATATCCCACAGTTGCTGTTCATGGGTTTTGAAAGTGCATGGAACGCTCACAACCACCAGCACCTAGGATCTGCTCATTGAGGGCTAAGCTCCAGTTCCAGACCAGCCCATTCCACAGGCAGACCAGTAAGCCCCTGAGTGCTCACATGCTGCACAAGCTCCAGATAGCTGGGGAGCAACGCAGGCTCACTACGCAAGAGCTAGCAACCCCACTGTAAATGTGGCCCACAAGACCTTCTGTCAACCCGGTCATGTGCGGTGGCATGTGTCTATAGACTCAGCTACTCAGGAGAGGGGAGGCAGGAGGTTGGCTGAGCCCAGGAGTTCAACGCCAGCCTGAACAACATAGCGACACCTCCTCTCAAAAAGAAAAACACAAAAAACATGCTGTCACCTGGAAAAATGAATAGATCCAGGGAGAGACTGTCTTGGATTTAACAAGGAAAGGATGCCAAAAAAGAGAAGCTACAGGGGTACCTACAAGAAGGGCCTTGGAAACAAAGGCAGTGCAAAAGTCCGGTCCTGAAGACCAGAAGTGTGGCCAGAAGACCAGAATGGGGAAGGGACAGAGATGCAAAACACATTTAAAACCATGGCAGGTTTGCAAGGTTAGGTCTCAGGAGATACAACAGAGCTCAGCTTTCAGGCTGGTGTTGGGATCGAGTGAGACGGGACTGCCACCGCTGAGCCTGCTGCTTTTGTGTCATCCCACACTGGATCCAGACCCACAGGCTCTGATCCCTGTCAGAGATGAGACGGCTGCTTCTCCTCTCCTACAGAGCACCAGGTGCTCCCCAACACTGCACACAGCAAGGGCTCAGTCCATGACAGCTGTCATATCAGGCTACTCCCAAGTTTAAGGGACCCTTCTAGTGAGCCCTTTGGAGCACACCAAGACATGTGTGCAACCCTTGGATGGATCTAGGAAACTGTCCAACTCCAGAAGCGTTCAGAGGCCTTTAACCCCTCTGCCTGGCAGCCCTTGAGATGTGAGTCCCTAGCGGGCAGCCGGCATGTCACCTGACATGACCCTTCTCCCTTTCAACAGGCTCAACACAGAATCACAGAACCTCTGGAAAGCCAGGAGGCCACAAAGTACAGGGGGTCGGGGAAGAGTGCACTGCACTTGGCAACCCAGGGTGCCCCTAAATGCAGTGGGGCTTGCCTCCCAAAACCTCCACCTCCCATACCCTAGCTTCACACCCAGGGCTACCCCGAGGGTACAACAGCATTTCAAACACTGCGAGACTGGGTCTGCAGTTCCAGCTACTTCGGAGGCCAAGGCAGGAGCACTGTTTGAGATCCAGGGATCTGAGGTCAGCCTCAGCATCACAGAGAGAACCTCTCTTGAAACAAAACCCACGCACATGCTACATCAGGCCTGGCAGGTCTTCTCGGGACCAGATGCCCCATGGACTCTCACAGCTCAAGGTCTGTATACTCCCTCTCCCCATGCCAATGCCCTCCCAGCTCATCCTTCCAGCCCTCTGTTCCCTCATGCCAGAGACAAAACCAAGAGCTGAATGCCTGCCTCTGCCTATGGTGACCCTTCCTTCTCAACTCTCGAATGCCATATTGTGCTCTCAAGAATTTGGAGCTGTCCTCAAATAAGACAGAAGGAAAACTATCCCATTTGGACTCAAGAGCTGCACAGGGGCCAGACTGCCCCAATCCCACCGCCCACTTCCCAGGACAGGTCTGCATCCTTTGCAACCGCTGCACAACCACCTGCTCTAAGTGACCAGTCAACCGCCGAGCCCTGGGCTCAGTTTCACCACATTTCTTTGATAACAAAGACCCGGAATGTGTTGGCAGAATACTCTGAAACCTCGAGACTTTGGGTCTACATGCACACCCCAAAGACAAAGGGAAGGCCCACACAAGTGTGGGTGTGAGGCATGGCCACTCTGAGCACATACTACCTCATTCACCACCTGCTGAACTCCAAACCCAGCTGCCTTTCTGACAGCTAGTTCAAGCAAGCCTCCTGCCCCAGTCTCCCAAAGGAGCCAGAAGAATCAGGACAGCCTCCACGTAGGGCTCAAAGGAAAACCACCCCACCCCCCAGAGCCCACTCTGGAGCTAGTTCTCACCACACTGTGGCTCTGCCTAAGAAGATGTGAGCGCAGCACCGCACCACCTGGAGGTTTCCACAACCATACAGCTGCGTCATGGGTCCAGGAGACCAGGGATCTCCAAGACAGAAGTCCCTCCCACGGGGTGCTCTTGGGACAAACCCCCAGGACTCTGGACCTCTTGCCAGGATGACATAATCTGAGGCACATCTGGAAACCTCTGGAGGACAGGCTATCAAGTACAACTTCCTCTGAGGAACAGAGCGAGTCACCAACAAGGACTCACATCAGTTTCCTAAGGAACACTTGCTCCCTCCTTGCTTCCCCAAGTCACCCACACCACACTGCTCCTTCCCTTCATCCCGGCAAGGGACAGACAGCAAAGATGGGAATATCAGAGTTGGGCCACTGCTGGGACCGGCAGGGTTCTCAGGTTCCATGTCCTCTAACATGCCCGAGAGTCAGAATCAACAGGCTTCCACTGTGCAATTTACACAGTCCATCTTCTATGCTGGGTCAGTAGCATTTTCAGTTAATGTCAAAGCGCTGTCATCGTGAGCATACAGCAAACAAGAGCAAGACTCCTGAGCAGCACTATGTCTGTGGGCAGTTGCTGTACTGCGGTCTGGCCCAGGACCTTACCCATGACAGACAGGTCAGGTCATCTACCCCGTCTCCTGTTAGATCACTCCAGGCTGATCTAACCTGAGGCATAATCTCACACACACTTGTGTGGTAGACCAGCCTTCCTCAAGACAACACATCCAGGTCATGAAAGCCCTATGCCAGGCTGACAGGTGTGCCCAAGAGGGAAAGGAGTGCTTGGGAAGTGTGCATGAGGTGTGGGTACTAGCGTGGTCATCGTGACTTGCACTGTCCTCACCTCACGCCACTTCTGAAGTTCTGTCTTTCTCTCTCTCTCTCTCTCTCTCTCTCTTTCTCCAGCAAGCTGGTGGCATTTAGTCAGAAGCACTGTCACGCAGTAAGTCTGGGTAAGTCCCTAACTTGGGGCCAGTCACCTCACACCAGGTAGGTAAGAAACAAAAGCATCTGCTCCTTCTCTTGTCACCGAGCAGCACCACTATCGCTCTGCCGTTGGCTTCTGTATCACGCCTCCTTGCATGGGGCTTCGGAGGAAGCAGCACACTGGGAGGGTGACACACAGTTAGCACACACTGTGTCTACTTTTGAGATGTTCACACAATGCACCTTGCACAGACATTTAAAATAAGCAAACAAAGCCCAGAATAATTCATGTTAACCTCTGCTGACCCTTCCAGAAGCTAAACCTGGTTTGGGTATGTGTACCGATGTTGGTCTCCCTCTGCAGAAGAGGGGCTTGAGGCCACCTACTCCAAGCTGGGAGGCAGGTCCTTTCTGCACATGTCTCTGCAGAGTCCCTGCTTCCACCACCTGCAGCACTGTAGGAAGAAAGTGGTCCTGAGGCAGGTCCCTGCTCCAGAGCCCGACAACAGGCACATGGATGCTGACATCACTGCCAACTGAAGTCCCTCTTCTCCACAGGCCCTTCTCCAGCCTCTCCTGGCTCTGAACATGGGGCACTCATCCTGCCCTGGGCTGGCCTTCAGCTTAACCTAACATGATGTCCATACTCACCCTAGCTCCACAGAGAACAAGCTCAAGCCACCTGTGACTGTCATTCTCCAAAGTTCAGTATCACAATATCCACCCCAGAACTGTGAAGCACTGCAATCCCTGGAGCTTCTTGAGAAAACGGGGCTCACATGCAGCTCCTGAGTGACAAGTCCAAGAAAGCTCTCAGGGGTCAGCCAGGCGAACCAGCAGGGAAAATGTGACCAATGCTCCTAACCCCGACGGAGAAGACACGAAGTGCAACACCCTCAAGGAGGCCACCTTCTGCCAAGAAGTCGAGGCACAGCTCGAGGACAGTAAGTGCTCCCTGCGCACAGAAGTGAGCACCTGCCAAGGAGACTTCGTGTGGGACTCCCTCTGATTTCTGCACACAAGTAAGATAGCCCTCAGCTTCACCCACAGTGTGATGAGACTGACCAGGGCAGCATGGTGAGGACCACTGCACTCTAGAGAGTCTCAACACTGGGCTGACACACTGAAGGTAAGGCTTCTATTGTTCTGCAAAACTGCTTGTTGCTTTTTGAGAAGGAAAGTAGAGGATTTACTTGTTACAGAATTGGCAGAAATTACTAACTCTGAGCCTGCTGCTATAGAAATTCAAATACCCCAGAGACTGAAAGTTACAGCAGAGACAAAGCTTTCTTCTCATGAACTCCCAGGCAAGGAGATGGTCAGTAGGTCCACTGTACTGTTACTTCCCAAACTTTTCAGATACAGTACTGTGCATACTAGGTCAGCTGGCTCCACACTGAGTTTTCAAGCAATAGCTGAGTTTGTTAACCATAATTGCATGCCCATAAAGGTAAGCATTACATGACACAATTCACTGTCGCTTCTCTCTGAAGAGGTTTAATTTTAGTGTTGGCTCTCCAACACTGTCCCCATTTTTTTTCTTCCATGAGCATCTTAAATATGTGTCAATTACTCAGCGGTGGAGGTCATACCCCAGCAAGGCAGCCCTTCATTCACCTGAGCCTGGAGCCATCCCAGAGAGACAGTAGATGCAGACATCCCATCCCCTATACCTCCTCCACCAGCAACCACTGACAGCCTAAGGTGCCAGGCTCTCTGAGGTTGTGGTGTTTGCTCAAAGCCACATTCCTGTGAAATGTGCTAACAATGTTCATGGAGGGTCACCAATAAGGGCAGCCCTTAAAGGAAGCACCTTCCTCATCGCTCACAGGAAAAAGAAACAACTTCCCAGCTCCATCCATCATGCCTAGGTTGGCAGGGCTCAATCCAAACCCATGACTAGAGTCCCCCACAAATAAGCCACAGGACACATATGCTCCATGCCATCACCACCACCGTGGGCCTACGTGAATATCACGTTTTTGCACATCCTAAGGCACAGGAAACTAAGGTCTGTTCCCTGATACTCTTCGTTTCCCACTCCAAGAAACTTTAATCGGAGCTTTACGAATACTGAAATCCTGTGGCACTGCCCCATGTAATCTACAACACCAGGACCACCTGACAAAGTGACTCTTGATCCCAAAGCTCTCCTCAGCGGCACTAGGGACCTGTGCAACCTCTCACATTCTGGCCAAAGGAAGTGACTGCATGAAAGTCAAGAAATGACACTCTGGCTCTGAGAAAGATGCCGAAGTCACCAAGGCTACTTTTTCACATCGCTTGTTGTATCCTTCAATGTTTTAGCCCTGGAACTGCACCTGTACCAGCTAATGCAGAAAAGACCTTCTAGAAGGTTTTACATTGCCTGTAACTTCTCCACCCCCAAGTCATAACAGAAACGTCAATAGTATTTCTTGAAGACAATTACCATCAGGTCAATCTTATGGACCTGAAGACCAGGAAAGAGTTATGACCCAGGAACCAGAGCCTCAGGTATATGGCGGCCCCTCAATTTCTACCAAGACTGTGCCATCAAAGTGATTAAAAAAAAAAAAAAAAAAAAAAAAACAAAGTAAAGCGCCCTGCTAAGAGTCAATTGGCCAAGCTCATCTGAGAGACAGGAAGGGCAAAGGCTCCTCCAGAGTGAGAAGCCTGAGTTACCTGGCCAAAACCAAGACTTTTTCTTCGGTTCCCAGCGTGAAAGAAAAAGAAAGGGCTCTCCACAGCCACTTGCCAGAAAATGCTGCCTCCATACCTGGACGTCACAGCATCTTCCTGCCGCCTTGCCAACTGCAGCAGAAATAAACGACCCTGGCTGCCCCCCAACCCTTAGGGACAAGCGGCGACCACGGCGAGCCTCATCTACAGTCGGAGGAAGCACGGGGGGGGGCCCCGCTACAAACAGCAGCCTCATCCCAGCGGCGCCTGAGCAGGCCGGCCCCGGAGTTAACCCGGACAGCCGAGGTCACAGAGCACCGGCGAGACCGCGGTGGGGAAGGGAGGGCAGGACCGCGCTCCCGCGCGAGTGCAAGTGTGACCGGCCATCTCTGCTCCGCCACCCACAGCTGGGCTCTGGCCCGGCCAGACGCGCCAGGGGCACCCAGGAAGGACCCCACGCTCCCCCGACCCTCCGTCCCAGGCTCCGACCCCACAGCCTAGCGACGGCGGCTCCAGGCGTGGAACCCGGGGCCCCCACAGGGGCTTCCAGCCGGGGAGGGGCAAGGAAGGCTGCCCCGACCTGGGAAGGCGCTGCCCTGAACACCAGTTGCTTCCCCGCCGTCCCTCCCCTCCCCCTCGCCGGGACTCAGGGCCCCGCGTCCTGCGGCGGAGGGGCGGACGGGCCGGGGCCGGGGTCGGGGCCGGGAGGC